CAGCGGCATGTCTGCGGACTTACAACGCTAGAAACCGGGTTTCGATACCCGTGGTGGGCAGAGCACAGATAGCCCTTGTGTAGCTTTGTGCATAATTAACAAACAACAAACCCTCGTGTAGCTTTGCGCGAAATTAATAAACAAAACAAAAAAAACAACCCTTCCTTTGTGAATGGATTTTGGTTCTCTGGTGTATTTTTTGTTTTATAATATAATCTAAATGTTTTTTTATTACGCCAAATTTTGAGAAAATAAAACGAAATATACATTTTTAATTTACTTAGTTTTGTTTAAAATCAGGTAAAGCAGCACGTTATTCGCACATTATGAAATCAGGTAAAATAACACGTTATTTTAACATTAAGTTGGTATAAGTAAACATGGTTTCAACTTTTATTCCAGAAATTATTATTTTTGGAATGAATAAGAGCTTTAAAAAACTCAAATGGGTAACGGTCGATTCTTTGTTTATTCTGACATTTCATCTGAAATCGGCCTGAGTGTGTCTCAGGTGGGTTTATGGAAAGAACTATTTCGTGGCTCATCACTAGAAGCGACAATAGGTTCACCAGTTGGTTGGAGCTTTTAACGTACCACTTTTCATTGGTAGAAGCAGTACTAATGGACAAGTCGATGTCTGACTAAAAGAGATCGTCATCAAAAGACCATTGGACTTTTATTCCCTGTTGGTTATCTCGCGTGTTCTTCTCTTTCTTTACATTCTTTTTTTTTATTGCTTTTAATGCAAGTTCTTTGGCTCGCGGAGAAATCCCAGAAAACAGTAGAATCGATAAAAAAACTCAATTTATGGACTTCTACTTTCAAAACGTTTCGTAGAGTTTTGATAAGACTATCGAAATTAACATCGCGGACACTCGAAGTCTGTATCTGACACGTAGAAGTCTTCTGAGATGATCTTCTCTCAAATAATCTTACTGTCGGGAAATGATATTTAGCGACAGTGAAACAACTAAAATAATGCTTAAGATAAAGCTGTTCTTATCATCGTTATGTTCATAAAGAGCTTATTATATGGAAGTTTTTCTTCTGATATTATATGAAGTATAGACACGCGCACTCATATATGTATATAAGTTGTTGGAGTTCTTTGTTTTTTTTTAAAAGCTAAAATCACTAAAATATTTTCGAAGATTAATAGTAAAGAATCTGTATCCCCTTTTCTTAATTTATTATTTTAATTATATTTCATATTCTCATTAAATATGTTTGTACCATTCTCATCTGTCTGTTGTATAAACTTATATATATATGTAGTCTCGATTAATATATTTGTTCCTATTTATTGTACTTTGTTTATATATTCATTTATACATCCATTTATTTTTTCGTATTTTTATTTATTTCAGTTTCCATCCCGAATTTTTCCTTACGGCCCCCACTTTTAGGTAACCTATTTATTAGTGATTTGATTTACTAGCTTCTCTTTGATTTTTCTAAACTCACTCAGTTATATCAGATATTTTATTTCCGAACATTTTTTATTACGCGTCTATATTTTTCAAGATATACCTTTTTTATATTTAAACAGTATTGTAATTACGGAAATCACCAATCCTGTACGGAGATTTCTTAAGTTATTGCAACAATAAGATTTTACTTGTTTATTTATTTCTTTTTTGTCATAATTTCGTTCTTTTTTTTCAACAAAAGTATAAACAGCATAATGTTCTAAACAAAAGAAAACAAACACAAAATTGTACACTACTTTCTAAGTAGAGTAAAACAATGCCATTCATTATTCTCCTTACGTGTAACAGTGTTATAATATCTTTGTTAACATTTTATAACATTTTACTGAGGAAATAGTGTATGGATTGATTTACTTGATTAACCACTGTCTTATGTAAGGCGTGAAAATTTATAATATTTATTGTGATATTACATCATTATATATATATATAATGCTATAAAATACATTAATTGTCCATAGGCGATTAAAATCAGCACTATAAAATAATAATGAACTTAATACAAAAACAAAACAACAACATTATAATGATATTAAAATTCAAAATTATTCTTCCATTACCAGTCCTTTCTTATCCGTAAGTCATAATGTCTGTAGTTATAGCACCCAAACGCGTTGGGGATATTCCATCTATCAGATAAGATCCCTACGCCGATGTAAAACTCGTCGGCAGCTAAGTAAAATCAGTTAAGTGTTGGAAGTTGAGTGCTTGGGCCCACAACGTCTCAACTCTTACTGCCTTTCGCTGTCTGCGGCCAGGCCAGTTGTGGGAAGGCAGTTACCCTTAATATTTATAAGGATATATCTAAATATTAAGGGTAACTGTCTTCCCACAACTGGCCTGGCTGCAGACAGCGAAAGGCAGCAAGAGTTGTGGGTTCAAGCACTTAACTCCCAACCCTTAACTGATTCTCCTTATTTGCTGGCGAGTTTTACATCGGCGTAGGGATCTTATCTGATAGATGGAATATCCCCAACGCGTTTGGGTGCTATAACTACAGACATTATGACTTAAGGATGACAATGAGGACTGGTAATGGTAGAATAATTTTGAATTTTGGCCTCATTATAATGTTGTTTTTTTTTTTCGTTTTGTAAATATATGTGTGTATTCAATTTTTTGTTATTGTTGAAATAGAATTCCAAAATTTTGCATTTAATAAATATGAGCTAAGATGTTAACTTATTTTTTGTTATACATTAGTTATTTCTAAATTGTGAAATAATATTTAGATACCGAGTTACGATATAATTACAAAGGAGAGTTCTGTTTTTTTTCTATTGCGAGTGTAGCACTGAAATACAAGATCTGTGGTTGTTTAAAATAACCCTATTTGTTTTTCTTTAGAGAGAGACGAATACGAAACCACCTACGCCTGTGAAGGTAGACATTTAAGAATATCATGTACTGGTGGTAAACAAATTCGATTAGTTAGGGCGAATTATGGAAGATTCAGTATGAGTATATGTAACGACAAAGGAGTCGTTGACTGGAGCGTCAGCTGCATGTCGTACTGGTCGTTCCCCATTATGAAAGACAGGTAAACATATGATTGATAATAATTGTTAGACAAACCTTAAAGGGATGGTTTACAAAAGAATTAAAGGATAGAAAACATTTGCATATTTCCTTTTTATACTAAAATGAATTATCAGTACAATAATATTTTAAGCTTCAATTCTATCTGTCTATTTAATCATCCATCCATCTATATATATATATGCATTGCAAACTTAATTTATTCATTTTGCTGAAGATTGATAGCTATCAGATTTAACATCTGCACTGCATTTAAGGCACCTTCTCGTTACACATTTTCAAACTAAATATTAGAGCATATCTTAAATACCAATATTTAGAAATGACTTTACATAGTTTAGCTGAAACAAATTACTAAACTAACACGCTTAATATTTACGAAGTTTATTTGTTCATTTTGTCTTTCCGTGTGTTTCAGGTGTAGCCAAAAGTCCAGCTGCAGTATCCACGTTTCCAGTGAAACATTTGAAGACGATCCATGTCCAGGGACAGTCAAGTATTTGGAGGTTCAATATCATTGTATACCTCGTAAGTTAACACTGTGGTGCAGTCCTTTAGTCTAATAGTATACAGAGCAGAAAAGCTATTACTGATACACAAAAAATGTGTACAGTTTAATATATAAGTTTCTTTCACGATATCATTTCTTTTATCAAAGTCTCAAAATCAACTTTTCATTTACTGAAAGTTATTTTTCTTGAACGATAAACTGACAAAACCGAATAGAAGATTTTAAAAAATCTATCAAAGAATATCAAACGTTAAGTATCATTTTTACTGTTTGTTTTTTTGTTAAGCGCAAAGCTGCACGATGGGCTATCTGTGTTGTGCCCACCATGGGTATCGAAATCCGATTTTTAGCATTATAAACCTTCAGAATTGTATCTGAGCCTTTGAAAGGGGGTTACTGTAAAACACAATAAGTTAACAACAGCAAAGCAGAAAGTCAGCATTGGTAATAGCGTTTTATGTTGCAGAATGAACGTTTTGTTTCAGATGCCTTTTATTGCATTACGAATATTATTTTCTACGTTTAACGTTATATTTGAGTGATACAAGCCTTTATTTCCCATGACAATTGAGGTATAATTTCTATCATAAAGAATATATATTAAATTATTATAGTTCCTTAACGCTAAGACTCTGTTCTAAGGTTAGGCTGTACGATTAGCGTGGTATACGCACAGATATTATAACGAGGCTTTATTCCTAGCAAAAGATCTGTATTTCTGTGATATTATCCTGACTCTTACTTTATTTCATGTTTTATTGCTATTTTCTTGATTTACTGCATCCTTTCTTGCAATAGCTAACTCCCACAGTGGCTCGATCGGAGCAGAAGAATCGATTGTACCTGTTGTTACGACGCCGATATTTCCACAACCTAACAACACTTATTTCAAACCAGGAGACGCAAATATCAGGTCAGAAAAAAATAACACGACAAATAGGGTCAACATCGTTGGGAGGGATCATGAGCCTTCACCACTTCCTAGCTCGACATCTTCAAGTGTTAGTCGGACATTAGCCAGTGTAAGAAAGACAACGACATCAACAACTTCCACCACTACAACATCATCAACAAGTACAACCACGATTACAAGCATTCCGTTTTTACCTCCTTACTTCAAAAGTAATGTTTTTGAAGACTACAATGACGAGAGTGATTTGAAAAGTAAATTGTTGATTTTTAACCTTTATATAATCATAAGTTTAACATTTTTATCGAAAGAGATACAAAGTTATATATATAGGGAAAATCTTTTCTTACGTTCATGTAATATATGTTTGACATTTTTTCAGAAAATCCTCGTTCCATGTGTAACCCATTTTGTTCAAGCAAAATAATACCTTCAGTTTGCAAACAAAACAGTACAAAAAATAAGCTTATCCATCGAAGAAATTATTGTAACATCTTTTATTCTGAATGGTATTTTGTAGTGATTAATACCCTTGAGGATTAAATGTACACAAAGAACACAACATTTCTTTCAACGCGCCTTTCTTTACGTGTCTGCCTCTATGAAGGTTACTAAGGAGATGATTTTTTCATGTTTATATATTCATAAAAGACTCTATTATCTCGTCGTTATGAAACTTTTCACTATAGGCCTAAAGCTTCGAGGAAAGTTTAATATCTACCTCGGTGATGGTTGTATTTTTATTGATTTTTTTAAAATTGTGTGGCTTAAAGATCTGTACGATTCCTGAGGACGTCAAAAAATATTACTTTTTGAATACCGAAAAAGTTAGTTTTAGAAAATTCTTCAGAAAACAACATGTACAACAAGAATAAATGAATCTGCCTCATTCACGTAACTCATGTTCAATCTTATCTTAATAAAATTAATAGATTTTCATAAACCTTTCTATCACTAACCACGTTCCACGGGAAGGTCATCCAACCTCTAGCATTTTTCATCCCGTGTTACAATAGATTATATTATTCTATTATTGATTGCCTTGTTTGTTTGCTTTTTACTTCTTTGGATTTCCAGATGTAATTTCAGTCACTACTAACCAGGTGAGAAAATCAGCTGCAAGGCATAATTGATTTATTTAGCTCAAAAGAGTGTGTAATTCGATTAGAATTGTCAGACTGAACCAACCCGACTCGCAAATTACGTCCTTATCAAAACAGGTCACATAATATAAAATGGATAAACGAAACCTGGACTTTGGTCATAGGTATATGAGTTACTTTGAATGTATTCTTTCCTGAGTATAAAGTTTTACATGTATAGAAGCAAACATTTTAAAGCTACCTTCCTTTTATTTTTTAGAGCCAACATCAGTGATTTCTTCTCCAATACCATTCACTCCACATAAAATGTGTCCGCCCATTTACTCCAGAGATCTAAGATGGAACTGGACCCGCGCTGGAGAAATAGCTGTCCAGAAGTGTCCTGGTGGAGCCACTGGTAAGAAAGTTTGAACGTTTTAATTTTAAATGAGATAAAGAGAACGATTGTGTCACTTTTCATTGTATTTGATTTTCTATAAAATATTGTGTTTTACAGAACAATCCAGATAGTAACGAAAGTTAGCCTTAAAAGTAACATCACTTGTCTCATAATTGCAGAAATCATCATATGTTTAACATGAGAAGAACGCAGCGAATGGTCTAAACGAAAAATTAATTACAAACAAAGAACTTCAATATGAAATCTGACAAGTGTTACTAGAATTAATATATTTCATAAATTTTTAAAAGGTATAAAAATAACGGTAATCACTTCTTGTTTAATGCAATATATGAACCAATTTTTAAATACCCAAATTGTTTTCGCTTCGTTCACTCTATTCCAGCAAAATCTGAAAATATTAACCCCATTTTAAAAATTTTAAATCTAATATACATCAGGTTAAGACTGAGAAATTTGCATTTTAATTTTAAATTATAGGATCATTCAATAATGTTTAACCCACCCTGAGACAAGCTGTTTTTAGTTTAAAATGCAAAAAAAAAAACAACGAATTATTTCATCACTTCATTGTAAATTTGTGGGTTTCTACATATAATAATTAATCATACCTTTTGTTTAATTTACATGTCTTCACCTTCTTTCTTACGTCTTAATTTACTAATTTTGGTCTCTTTCCGCAGTGTAAATTAGGAACTAATTTCTATATTTACTAATTGCATTATGACGTGTGTGTTCAACGTTTTGCTACATATTTCAAAAAAGTCTGTAACATTTTGTAAACTTTGTCATCTTAATTCCTTCAATGTATTATAAGAAAATGTTTAAAACTTGAATAATATTGTATCAAGCATGTCGTGATCGTACGTTTTAATGGTTTATGTTTGCTGATGGTACTTATAGTTAAATTACAATTATTTTTGCAAACAAGGGCTAGCAAGATGGAAATGTGACGAGGAAACAGTCAGCTGGACACCGGATCAACCAAATCTGAATGAATGTAAATCAATTTGGGTAGACAACCTACGAGAACGAGTAAGCTCATTGTATTATTTACATGCAAACGGTTAATATCATTGATTGGTGTTTCATATAGTTTATCGAATATGCTAATACTATTTATCGAACGAAAACGTAATCTTGATATTCATTCCGTTATCATAAAGAAAAAATATCCAGACAGTGCCTAAGCTAACAAAATATACTTTCTGAAATATGTCTTTTTTTTTTCTGTTGAAAAAAATGTAATGTTTTCATTTGTTTGAAAAATACTTCTGATATAAATAATAAAACAATGTTAGCATTTTCTAGAGACAACTTTATATTTCTGGATATTTTTCATAAAATTAAAGATGATTTCGTTGAATATTGATCCCTGCAGGGTACAAAACAAATCATATTGTTTCACACCAAACAAATGCACAAAATTAAAAACGATTGCGTTGAATATTGATCTCAGCAGAGTACAAAACAAATCAAATTGTTTCACACCAAACAAATACACAAAATTAAAGATCATTACGTTGAATATTGATCCCTGCAGAGTACAAAACAAATCAAATTGTTTCACACCAAACAAATACACAAAATCAAGATCATTACGCGAAATATTGATCCCTGCAGAGTACAAAATAAATCAAATTGTTTCACACCAAACAAATGCACAACATTAAAGATGATTACGTTGAATATTGATCCCTGCAGAGTACAAAACAAATCAAATTGTTTCACACCAAACAAATATACAAAATGTTTTCAAGAAACACGAGAAGCATTATAATGGGAATACCATCGTGATCACTTTTGATCGGATCATTTTCATTTAAAGAACAAGATTATTATTAAATATAGTTGAAACGCGTGTTATGTATTAAAATTCTATCCATATAGACTGTTTACTTGACTTTCCTTCAACGCAGCTTCAGGTGGAGTATGGGATAATACATTCACTTTAGTGCATTTCTCTCTTTCTCAGTATATTAAATAAATGTTTTCTTGTTTAACATCAAGAATAGACACATGTCATCATAACTTACCACTACATTAACGTTAAGATGGTCTTAGTCATGAAAAGAAGTATTTCTGGGATTAGTTCCTCGATCGTCTGTCAGTCGTCGATCACGCATAGCTTGTTTATTATGTGGTGAAGTAAGATATATGGTAGAAGCTCTCCTGTAATGATTGTACGTAAATTTAGCTACACAGCTCAGTTTTCTCTGTGGAATGAGATCAGTGTTTCTTTTGGAGCATCTGAAAAACCTTTGAAAGTTCTCTTGAATTCTGCTAAAGTAATTATACGCAAGATAGTAATTATTTTTGTTTAATATAAAGTCTAGGAAGATAAGGCTGCACTGGATTGGAAACTTTTACGAACTGCATCCACCTACGTTTCAAACTGCTAAGATAGGTGTTCATCATGTTTGACCTGATGAGTTGTAATATAGAAGAAATTCGCGGTTTGTATCTTTACTGTTTGTATCTCCCGTCGCTGCACTTGCCATTTCAAATCTTTCTCACTGCCACGCCTTCTTTCTTTATTACACCCCACAACTCGTCATTTTTGACTTAGTGAAAACCTGCGCCAGCAACTCGAAACGTCATCTTCAACATACCAGGCACATAAAATCCATAAAAGTTATCAAGCCAGTGCAATATATAAATTATTTCTGAAAAGTTTGAATATACCTAGTTTTTTTCTTAACGATATTTAATTTTATCTCTGCTATTAGATACACATAAAAAGAGATACGTTTTAGTATTCCATTACTTATTTACAACTTGAAACTGGTAAAATTTCGAAAGTTTGAAGGGAATCTCCTTTCATCACGGATGTACAGAATTCTAAACTTATGTGATTAATAGTATACATTTCAAGGCTAAAACAAAAGTTAGTTATTATATGGTGTATCCTATACACGCATGTTCATGGCAGTGAAGGAGTTAATAACAATACAGGAATAATCTTTAATTTTTTACGAGCTTATTAATATGTTAGTTGATTTCAAAACAGATGCAAGGAGGAGACTCCATAACGAGTATTACATCAGAAATGGCCCTTATGACGTTGTCTAAAGTGTTGTTCAGTAAAGACGTATCCCATGTGGTGACCATCATAAAACAGACATTGTCGCGGGCGGTGGACAGTATGGAGAACTTTCTGGATATGTGGCATCGACGCCAGGTGTTTAAAGAACTTCTAGAGGTGATTAAATGGCCAGTTAAATTTGTATTTTATATAATGTAAAAGTATGTAATAGTTTAACCTGAAACAGATTAGCTAACCAGATCTTGTGTTAGGAATAGGACCACTTCTCACTACATTTCAACTAATATCTGTACACCTTGGTTTAATATTGTCTGGTTTTTCACGTAGACGTAGGTAAATATACAGAGCGGTTTTATTGATTAAGATAAGCTAACTAAAAATTTAACTGGTGCATTAGAATTACAGATACTACTATTTTATGAAATTGGATATACGAATTCCTTTTGAACATGAGGAAATATGTTTTTCACTTAATCTTATATATTGTTTTCATACTCACAGACGTATCTAGAAAGAGTAAATTGCATGTAAATCCTGTATTTATGTTTATCAGTCTCCTCACTATTTTACAAAAACACTTAAATTAAAACCAGATTAATCTCATTGTCTCTTAATCGTCTTTTTTATTAAAACGTGAGTTTGAAAACATTATTCTACATCATTTACGAGAGAAGCTGTTGTTTAAAAGATTGTAAATAATAAATGTTTTTTATTGGGTTTTTTTTACAGTCAATTGTAGAAACGGTCAGCAATCTACTTGGTGACAAGCAGAATGAAGCCTGGAAGGATTTGACATCATCAGAATGTAGACAAGTGACGTCAGACCTACTTCAAGGATTAGAAGAAGGAGCTCTGCTGTTGTCAGAGTCGTTAACTCAAGAAAGTAGCTTCATAATGGCCAAGACAAATGTTTGTAAGTCTACCAAGATAGCATGTACATCAATCGTTATGTAAAAGAATCACTAGTATCCGTAGCAATTTTAAATGACATATTTTGTTGTCTCAGTTATTGATTACGTACTTTGCAATGAATGTTGTGACTTTCATAGAAACTTGAATAGTTTGGCTGTACTAACGTTACAGATTTCTTTGTATTGTTAAATGTAGCTGTTCTATACCAAACCCTATGAATTAATAAACAAATGACAGACGTCGCTGAATATCCTGAGCATAACTGCTTTCATTGCTGTAAAAGTAAAATAACTGAAACACGCCGTCTTTATAGCAATCAAAGCGAAGACCTGCTAAAAAGAATGACTTTATTTTGTTAATTTTATAGGCTATTCGTAGTCTTATTAAGCGTGAAAATGTCAATAATTCAAAACGAGTACACTGTTTACGTACATACTGTTTTTATATTTATATACAATATATGTGCATGATACCTGTAAGATTACACACTGTTAAGTTTTGTCTCCATTTATGAAAATATGCTTAAAATATTAAGTATCTACAAGATAAGAGGAAGATCGTGTCTTAATAACGGAACTATGACGTTACTAGCGAACCCGTAGGCCGGTGGCCTACATTTACAGAGCCGCTATAATGCATATTTAATGCTTGAACTACTGTTTTTAACTTTTTTCAGTTTAATGATCATTGCCGCTATAACGAAAATTTAATTTCTTTAACCAAGTTACGAACGGTAATTAGTAGGCCTACTTATTTACCTGTTCTAATGTAAATCAACGCTAAATTTTGGGTCCGCCTTCTGGGAATCTACGTAAAAGTGTTTTCGCGAAATACCCAGGTTCCCCAAGGGGTTGGGTGAAAAGCTTTACCTTTGTACAAACCTCGGGGCCGAGACTATTTTTTTTTTGGCACCACTCAGAAGTTGGGAGTCCAGCATTTTAGGAGAAGGAGTTTTCGGGAAATCCCTGGGTTCCTCAAGGGGTGGTGTGAACATTTTTACTCTTGTGCAAACCTCGGGACCGAGATGATTCGTTTGGTACCACTTAAAAGTTGGTGTAACCAGCAGTTTAGGAGTTACATGACACACACACACACATTGAATCTTATTATATAGATTATTTACAAATCAAAGTATGTTTGATGATTCGTACCAGAAACAAGGTGAAATTAGAATATTGAAAATGAATAATAAGACATATTTTATTGTTATAAAAAGTGCTTACAAAGATAAATATCACAATTTCTTGTTTTGAACGCCTTTATTTGCATTCCGAAGGAAGAGAAGAACAATAAGAACACTCATTGATTGTTTTACAAGGATGAGTTGTTTGTTGTTGTGCCCACTACAGGTATCGAAACCCGATTTTAACGTTATAAGCCTTCCTATTTACCGCCGAGCCACCAGGGAGCTTGTTTGTTTGAAGTTAAATACAAAGCTACACAGTTGACTATATGCGCTCTGCCCACCACCCGTATCGAAACACGGTTTCTAGCGTTGTAAGCCCGCAGACATTCCACTGTGCCACTGGGAGGCCACCAGGGAGCTGCAAGAATGTAGCCCAGAAACGGGCACATTACTCCCGCTGACATTTTCTATGTCATTCTTGTTTTTTCAATATAACAAAAACAACTAAAATTTCTTCATATAAATGTTCACAAATGTTTTTTTTTATTAATGGTGTCAATAATCACGAGTATAAACACATTGAAAGTGTTTTTATTGAATAAACATAACATGTGTGTGTTTCTAGTAATGCTGGTCGAGGCTGTAGACGTCAGGAAAACACAAAACCTAGTGTTTCCTTTACCAACCCAGGTCCCGGGTTCGAGCTGGGTTAGGGTCGAGGATTCGCTGCTTCTTCCAACTCAGTCCTTGGTGGAATATTCTAATCATGGTAAGAATCTATATATCTTAAGTAAGAAAAATAGAAAGGTGTTGATGTAAGAGTGTGAGCCCTCTATTTGCAAGTAATCATGTATAGAATGGGGATTTATCATGCTGTTTGTAGGATAACCCGTGTAGTCCTTCATAATTACAATAAAGTGGAGATCCATTTTTTGTTGTTGTAAGACTAGCCTATGTAACCTTTCGCCTTAATAACCGAGTGACGACGTGTTTTATTGTTTTCAGGACTAGCCCGTGTAGTCCTTCGTCTTTACAATAAAGTTGATGAACTACTAAGACCAGATGCCAATTTCCACTCTCACGTGACTCGAGGGCAAGATATTACTAATGGTACATGGGTCATCAATTCTCGAGTTGTTGCCGCGTCCGTGGGAAGAAGAAGGTTTGTGCGTTTGTTGGAACCAGTGCAGATCACCTTCAAACATCTCCAGGTAGCGTGGCATATAGTTTCTATCTCTAAAATTAAAGTTATACGTGTTGAGAAAACAAGATATTTTGCTGTGTAAAACAATAATGTTTGTCTTGTCTATCAAAAATAAATGTAGACGAGCTAATCATTTGTCCAATTTGAATTAAGATCATATAATGTGAAACCTGTTCAAATAAATATTAGGGTTTTTCAATTATGTCATCACCTCGAAGTGCTATGAAAACTTAAAATACGTTACCTTGTGTAGTGCTACGACGTGGTTACTTGATTATTCATAACATGATACATCACAGTAGCTTTCTAGAAATTTAATTAATTTAACCTGTTCCTCCATTCTTTATTAGCCCACGGAAGTGGTGAGTAATACATCACACTGCAGTCTTCATGGCAGTATTTTTATATGATGCTTCTGTTCATAATCGGTTAGTGTGGGATTCAAACACGCTTCGCACTTCCAGCTGTGGATGAACTATAAGTGAGAATTGATCCTTCTGCTTCAGGTGGCAGGTGTTACCGTCTGGTTACTCTACCTCTGGTACGCAGTTCAAAATAAGGGTTGGCTATGCCTAAACCATAAGAGTATCGGACCTGGTATTTTAGCCCATTGTGTGTATAATTAGGGATGGCTATGTCTGAATTATAGGAGGTCTCTCACTTGGCTTTTTAGTCCACTGTATGCATAATTAGGGATGGCTATGTCTGAATTATAGGGGTCTCTCACTTGGCTTTTTAGCTCATTGTGTGTATAATTAGGGATGGCTATGTCTGAATTATAGGAGGTCTCTCACTTGGCTTTTTAGTCCACTGTATGCATAATTAGGGATGGCTATGTCTGAATTATAGGGGTCTCTCACTTGGCTTTTTAGCTCATTGTGTGTATGATTAGGGATGGCTATGTCTGAATTATAAGGGTCTCTCACTTAGATTTTAGTCCACTGTATGTATAATTAGGGATGGCTAGCTGACTTGGCCGATAAGCCTATTGTGTTCAGGTGAAAAAACAAATTATTGATGATAATGTAATACTTCAATCTTTAGATACATTTTTTATATGTTTAATATAGCAGCCTTAGGATCTATATTTTTATTTTGCAATTCTATTTAGAACATATTTTCGTGAGCTTCTCAGGATTATATTTTCATTTGTTAAATATGCTCAGTCCAGCTTCACAGTTTATAACTTGGGGACGTTTTTATGTTCAAAATCTGCTTAGTGTGTTTTTACAGTGCACCTCTTTGTTATTTACAGTAGACGTTAATGTGTTTAAAAAGTAATGGTAAATCCTACTAGTAGGTCAGACAAAAGTAGCCCGAGAGTTGACGGCGGGTGCTGTTAACTAGCTGCCTTCTCTCTAGTCTGTTAACTAAATAAATCACATACACAAAAACTTGTTCTAATCAAAACTTCTTCGCCCTATAGGAGGAAAATGTTACTAACCCACAATGTGTGTTTTGGGACATTAAAGTAAGGTAAGTGGAAAACATCAATTGTTTTTCTTGTCTATAAAAAAAAAACTTTGGTTATGCCATAATAACGACCTAATATAGAAAATTCAATTTTACAGCCCATGATGTTAGCCAGTCGTCATTATTTTAAATAAAAGTATAATAAAATACTAGAAGAACCATTTCTGTAAGATACCACTTTATACTTTTTGAAATAAGTTTGACAATTCTCGGAACATTTCTAGAAAATAATTTAATACAAAACCAATAACAAAAGATTTTCCATGAAGAGTAGCGTAAACTGGTTACTCTTGTTTTTATGAGAATCTTTCGTACAGGAGGCAGCAGCCAAGCTTCATAATAAATCTTATTTTATTTTAGTTTGGAAATCGATATACGATTTAAAAACTAGGCTTGTTTTTATAATAAGCTGTAAACCAAGTTGTTTTGATAATAATCTAGAAACCAGGTCGTTTTTGTAATAATCTCAAAAACAGTATTGCTTTTATAATAATTTACGATCATGATTGCTTTATAGTAATCTAGAAACTACGCTTGTTGCACAATAGTGTAAAATCCAAAATAATCTTTACAGAATTATTTTATAATAACCCAATACTGGAGTTGTTTCTTTTCCAGTAAATAAACATTTCTGTTCAGAATACGTTGTTGTGCAATTAGTAGTAGAGTGATTGATTTTTATAGCTTGTTGGAACTAGTGTTAATAAGTCTGGTCGATTGATGAGTAATAATGTGATTCATATTACATCTCACATTTATAAATCAATCTGTATAGAGAATGGTCTGGAGAAGGGTGCTGGACAGTGGCGTCGAATAGTTCTCATACAACATGTGCATGTAACCACTTCACGAACTTTGCTTTAATAATGGAAGTGAAGCATATTCAGGTAAACCAATCTTCACAGCTTCTTAGTAAATCTTAGGTATATACATTCAGAATATTTTACACCCTTTCGGTCGCAGATAAACATAAGGTAAAAGGCTTCTGTTGTGTGGTAATCCCTCTTTATCTCAATAAAGAAAAATCCATACTCAGATCGGGCTGATTTACAAATTATTCCAGTAAAGAAAAAAAATCTGTCTGGACCTGATTTGAAAATGTATTAAAATTATAAGTAATTACTTTTAGAAAATATTATTGATGTATATTTTCAAAAAATACGTTTGAGCTTACTTTATTTCACATTGATAAAGGTCAATAAACAAATATTTGTGAACATAATTTCCTTTAAAATTGCATACTGATTGATTTCTATTTTATCTAGTCACCATCAGCCAAAACGTTGACTCTTCAACTAGTGACGTCATTAGGCTGTGCTATATGCGTGATATTTCTTCTGTTAACGGCCGTATCCTTGTATGTGTTACGGTAAGTATGTTCAGCCAATAGTGTTACTAGTAAAAACAAAAAAGCTGAGTCTTTGAGTTAATTTTACACTTGTATGTGCTTTGGTAGATAGACTTGAATTCATCAATACATTTTTATCTATCAATATTAATTAATCTTGTATGTGGTAAGGTAAATAGAGTTAACCTGTACATGTTTTACGGTAACTAAAATTGGCCTTTCACTAACTATTATACGTGTATGTATCGTATTATCAGTTTTTCAGCCCAATTTTGTAATTGTTAGTGTTATGATGAATAAAGCTCTTGGTATTTTTCATATTTCTACACAAGTTGCTCATAGTATTTTAGTCAATGTGTAAGTGTAACAAAATTATTTGCATTCGAGTTCTTCTCTGAAAACTCATCTCCTCTTTATTGTATTTCATTTGACAAAGTATTTACTTATTTTAATTTTCAGGGGACCCCAAACTGACCGAACTACGATCCACAAAAATCTTTGCTTGTGCCTCCTGGTGGCAGAGCTAGTCTTTGCAGCAGGCATTAACCAGACTCATCTTCAGGCTCTATGTGGCCTGGTTGCCGGGTTGCTTCATTATTTGTTTCTGGTCGTATTTGTCTGGATGTTTTTAGACGGATTTCATCTGTACGTGTTATTAGTGGAAGTTTATGATTCAGAAAAAACCCGGGCTCGTTGGTATTACGCTATGGCGTACAGTGTACCAATAGTTATTGTTGCTGTCTCTGCAATAATTGATCCCCAGAGCTACGGGACCAGCGAGTATTGTTGGCTACGATCTGATAATTACTTCATCTTCAGCTTTGTTGGGCCGGCAGTAGGCATTCTTTTTGTAAGTAACGAATATCTAATTGCTTGGAATAGTCTATTGTTGATTGCATTTCCTACGCTCAGGAATACATTACAAGACTTGAGTTTAGCATACCGAAAGTAGTTACATTTGAAATTTTATTTTAAAAAAATACTATTTTTTATTTATTGTTAAAAGTAAAGTTGCACCGCAGGGATCGAACTCATTTTATAGTTATAAACCCTCAAACTCACTGCTACAACACCAAAAGAAGGGAGGTCATTACGTAAAAAATGGAGATCTAGTGGACATCAAATGCTTTGTGTGTTTTTTTTTACTTCTTTAAGGAAAAAGGTTTAGGCTTATCGAATTTAAAAACACAGATAAATATAGATAGTTAAACAGATAAAGTATAGGTTTTTCGTACGGATATAGTTGTATGGATATTATGATACCATAATTGAATTGACTAGAAACACAATGTCATTTAAGTGAATATTTAATAAAATCTAGCCAGAACAACAGCTAAAAACAACATTCGACGTCTCGACGATGCAACAAAAAAATAAAAAAATTGCCATACCTTATTAATTGTTTTGTTTAAGTTATAGCTAATATTATTTTTCAGCCTTAGTAAGAAGTGTTTCTATTACAGAAGTACATAAATAGATCCTACAATTGAATGAAATGTTCTCTTTTTTCATTTTATATGACTTAACATCTGATACTGGTTATCTGCTCAGTTCATTGTTTTGTTGTTCTGAATGATGAAGAATAAGTAAGTCAACGATTAGAAGTGAAGAACGAAATTTTAATAAAAAGCTAAGAAAAAACGACCTTTGCGCTCCAGATATATAGAAAAGAATTTTCTTTATTTTAATACACGTTTCGCCTATGCGGTTTCATCAGGGTTAATATACACAACTTTTCTATTTTTAGAGTCTGCATTGCAAGCAGTTTTATAATTTAACGAATATTCTAATATCAAACAGTTGTGTATTTAACCCCGATGAAGCCGCAAAAGGCGAAACGTTGGTTAAAATAATAATAAAAAAATTATTTTCTATATATCTGGAGTGTAAAGGTTGTTTTTATTAACTTTTTATCAAAATGTGTAAATCCCTCTAGTATGCACTACAAATTTTGTAACAATAACGAAAGTGATTTTACTCTCAAAATGTGCCCTAGATAGACTCAATGGTTGTTTTTTTAAAAGAGAATGGATAATACGTTAAGTTGAACTGTGAAACTTTACTGTCTATACACAGCGGGGTTAATATTATATGTAATTATGGAGTTATCTACATAAATTGTTCATTTGTTCTTAGTACGTTAATTACGTGTTCATTGGACTTTTTGTTAGGGCTCGACTGTGTTCCTGTGTATAGCAACTTGCATTATGTGTCACCAAACCAGCATTTCTACTGTCGTTAAAGGCAAAGAAGAAGCAAAGCTGACCAATATAAAGTAAGTCTTGTTTTTAAAGTTTCGCGCAAAATGTTATCTACCCATAACCGCCCTAGTTTTGAAGTTACAGGCTATAAGGAAGTTACATACCCAACAACACCCACCGCCGATTAACTCTTGGGTTACTCTTGTCAGAGCAAATAATGGGATTTTGACTCTCATTCTTATAGGGCACCCAAAGCCACAAAATATGAACCATGAATCCTCAAATTCTCATATTTGAAACACAAACCGTTAACTCAGCGTCCGGCCCATATTTTTTTTTTATCCTTCACACTATTTTAGTAAAAAAGTGTATTGATACTATCCAATAAAATAATCCTGAATTGGACCATACATTTCTTATTAAATTTTACAAAAGGTAAGCAGGTTGTTGTAATTTTTTACAGCTCAACCAATAAACTGTTGCTTACAGCTTGAGTAATTTGTGTAAATCTGTTAAGCATATACAGAATTACGTAAACACGCTCAGACGAACTGAACCACTAAGTATTGTGGAACAGTTCTGTATCTAAAATGAAAATAATTGGGTCATATTCTTGCAACGTTTTTGTTTATTAAAATTATCAAATATAACATTTCTAAATAAGGAATCTTTTTTTTTTTTGACTAAGCACGTATGAACAAAAGACAAAAGATTATAAAATATATCAAACCTTCCAGTTATGTTTTTCGTTTAGACTAATAAGATAATATATTCTCTACAATATTTGTATATTCTAATTTTCAGGGTGTGGATACGATGGGCTATTGTCATACTATGTTTGTTAGGCCTAACATGGACGGCGGGTCTTCTCTATGTCAACGAAGGAACAGATTTCCTGGCTTATATCTTTACCGTCTTAAACTGCATCTTAGGCCTATTTGTTTTTGTGTTTTACTGTCTGCAGAATGAACATGTAAGTATCTTACATCTGACCTTATCTGACCTTATCATACTAATCAAAAATTAAAACAATAAAAAAACAGATTAAATTAATAAATCATAGAAACACAACCAATGTCAAACGTATATATTAAACATTTATATAATAGAGCTTATCAATATACGCATAATGAATAGCTCTTTAGACGGTATTAGTATAATAAAATTCACTTAAAAAATATATGAACTCATATTACAGTATTATTATTCTTTATTAGGAAATCTGTAAAAATAAATTAACAAATAATACAATTGCAGTTCCAGCAAGATAAAATGTTGCCTTTACACTTATCCCTAGCTCTGGTTATGATATTAAGTCAGTGTATTAAAAGACATTTACTTGATACTTTTGAAGGGTAATATCACCACATCCTTTACATTGTCATTAATAATATTTCAGGTGAAAGAAGATCTGTCAAAGTTCATGCAGCGATATGAATGGCTACCCAAATGCTTTCTTCCCGCAACTCCAAATGAGCAGTCGAGGAACGAAATTCCAGGGAGAGTTACCATGCCAACCAACTTACCACCAAGCCAACATAGTGTGGGTACCTCTGTACCTCTGACTACCCCTTCTGTTTGTTCTTTATCATCAGGTATTGCACCTGCTCTTTTGCACCCATTTATTTGCCTGTTCTCAATTGTGATTTTTTTTTCTTAAGACAACGACTATACTTTAACAGCATGCCTTCCATGCCTTTTTTATGTTTTAACAATTTTCCAGTCTTTTCTTATGCAGCTCTCAGCTTGTTCATATCCCACGCATGTATTTTATATCTTTTCAGTCATACAATGTTCTGTTTAACTGCACGAACAATAAAATCACATAATTGTTTTATTTCACTGCTGTACTTGCTTTATTTTACTAATCCACAACTTAACCATTCTCACATTCTTCTGCATGACATTTGCTATTTCTTCTGGTTTAACCATTTAAACAGATGTTACAATATTCTCCTTTTCTTTTGTTCAAATGATCCTTTTGAGACTTTTATACTACCCTCTATCATTCCTAAGGGTGCAAAAGGTTGCTTTAAAAATCATAACAGTGGCTTTACTCAAACGTTTTCAGCGTTGTAAAATTTAGTTGGTTTATTTTAGTCACTTAATAGTAGTCTATTATAAATGTTGATATTCTACCCACTAACATAAATTCTTTGCCGTAATTGGCCGAGAACGAATTACGTGGTATAAAACACATTTCACTGTTGCCTTGAAAATCAGGCAACATTTATGCATGTGTGACGTCGGAGCAGAATTTTGCAAATGATAATTTCTGCAGCACAGTGAGCAAATTCTGATCTATTTAGGTTTAATTATAAACAGTTTGCTCACACCCGTAAAATGAATGTGGACATATTTTTGACGTAAGATTTCGGTTATTCACAGATGAAGAGTTGCAGAGTTGTTTAGGCAGCAAAACTTTACAAACAACAATTTTTGCGGAACAGTGAAAACACATTGATTCATTTAGGCCTGGTTTACAAAACATGTCAGAAGTCTTGTTAGCATTCTAGGCAAATGTTGTGCTGAAATTAGACAGATGCGTACTTTATACGTTTACTGGTCATACAATAAGTTGCTGATGTATATTTAAAATCTGAAAAAGTCCTAACCATTTTTGATTTAATATTGATTCTTAAAATGAGATCAAAATTTTCAATAAATTGTTAAACTTTAAGACTTACATATAGGCCCGAGGATGTAGGCTAAAGATAATATATGACAGTTCTAATTAATCAGATCTTAGTAAAACTAAAAACTGGAGAGGGCGGGGGAGGAGGTAAAATAAGTCAATTATTGATTGGTGATTTCGGGCAACAGATCGTTTGTTGCCATCATATCCAATTAGCAATTTTTCACTGAAGTGTGTTTGTTATTTCCTCAAATTCGTAGGTAAATAAGTTTATAGTAACTATACAAAGACTAAGACAGATAACAGGGTGTAAAAGACCGGCATTTTTTCTTGCAGTGCAAAAATAATTGTATTCTTTACAAGTTAAAACTTTTTCATAATGACACGTTTCTAAAGTAGCAGGGAAATTACTAGATAAAAATTACATTTGAAGGTAAAGTGGTTTGAAGTCTTTTAAAGCATTTTACCTAACTGTGATATCCACACAAGCATGTCAGCAACCTGCGTATTAGTAGTTGTAACAAGGTAGAAAAAGGTAAGGTATACAGACTAGGTTCTTGGTTTCAGAAATTAGTTTCACTACAAGTTATCATAACAAAGACTCTCAGAGCTTATCTAAAACACGTGTTATAATTATTAGAAACTTGTTTACTCCAAATTGCATGGAATATGAAAACAAAATTGTCATTTGCAGGTCCCACAACATCTCAGGAATACTCAAGTACAGAACTGTTTTATTTCCCCAAAATTCACCATACAAGGTAAAAAGATTTATTTTTAAATATCTAAATGTATAGCTTCAAAATTATATTCTTCGAAATATCTATTAGACGAATTTAAGTTTTAAAGCTTAGTCAGTATATTTAATAATATAGCTCATGTAAAATATATAATATATGAAGTATTTCAGTTGAAAAATACTGTTTGAATAATAGAAATAAAGCCGTTAAAATTATAGTACCACATAATTAAGAGTTAAACGTTTATTCTTGCATAATATACGATGTTAATTTGGCATGTCTTGGTTTTCGAACAGATCACCTATCTACATCAATAGTGGTCAACCAAGATGACACTCTTCAGACTCCTGTACCAGTTATAGGGTCCTTGAGAAGGAAAGGACACAGAGACAATGGTAGAGCATCTCATATTGGAATCTTATCAAGCGTATCAAGAGCTAGCTCCCCTGGTCATTATGGGTTTGAAGCCAACCATCATCAAAGTGGTAGTGGTCATCAGCTGTTTCAAGTTGTTCCTTGTAACAGAAAGCCGGCCTACGCCCCTTACTCTGATTCATCAGGTGTCTACAGTGTATTTGCTGATCATATCTACGAATCTATTGAAGATGACACTAGAGGGCGTTCTAACAACAGTGAGTATGGCCGTCGGCAGTCCTTGACCAAACAGTCTCCTCCAGCAGAAAATTATTATGGTGACCATTCTGATCTTAGCCAGCATTCCTCGTCTAGTGGATATGACCAGCGACCTCTACTGGTAACATCAACTTCAGAAAAACCTCATCCAACAACATCAAACCAATTGGTGTACGGATTTCATCTTACTCACGATAATTATTCACTAGCTTCTACTCCTGAGTTGTCACGGCAGCCAAAAGTGGACAAAATCCATGGTAGTACCCAAAGAAGCTCGAACTGTGATAGGATTCCAAATGTTCACATGTTTAACACAGCTTCACCAAAACTGAACCATGAGTTTAGTATAGAATCATATGGAAACCAGAACCATTTGGCCACAGAGATCGATCCAGAGGACTGGTCGCCAGTTCTTCCAGACCTTCTCCGCTCCCCACCAGATAATGTTGTCATGGCAGTTTTGGATGGAGAAAAGGTAGTGAATCGTCTTCATGCGGACATGGGATTTGTAGAAGATGCACGGAACCAATCTCTTCACAAACGTAGCACATATTGTTAAAACAAGGAGCAATGAAATTATTTTTTTGTAATTATTTTCTGCCATTAGTGGTGCTGTGTGCGAATATTTCATTTTGTCAGTTAATACAGTATGTATACATAATGAAAAAAAAAAGAAATTTCTGCTACAAGAGAAGCAACATTGTTTTGATTATGGACGAGTGGGATTCAAAGGAGAGTCTTCTTCTAGGGAACACCAACTAAATTGATGTAGGACTTTTAAAGTGCCCTAGTCTACAATACTAGTCCATCCACACCACAAGAAGGACTTAGGGGCAAAGGAGTATCTATCTTTCAACATTGTACTCATAACCTAAAACTCGTAACGATAGGTTATGTTAACCAGTCCTCAAAATATGAAGGGAAGATAAGCGTGTCTAGAGTTAGGGCATACGTTTAAAGTTCTGTTAAGTCTCTAACTTGATAAGGACTAGATGTGATACATTTTGTATGTAGATCAAAATTTCATTCTGTTTTGTATAGTGATTTGACCACTCATAGAAAAGTGTGAATTCTTAGAATATGTCAGCGCATATAATGGGTCGTGGACAAGATAGTTCAATATTATTTAACAATACAATAGAGATGATATTTTTCCTGATCATCTTCTTAGTACGAGCTATTTGCGTAATACATTTCAATGGCTTTATGCTTCAGTAACTTTTGATCTCGAGTTAATCAGGATTCATCTGAGAATTTATGGATCGCAAATTTTTCGTGTTATTTCCTAAAGAAAAACAACATTGAAGGTTTTAGTAGTGTTCTTAATTATCGAATAGCTGTACTTAAAACATTATTGTTTCCATCATAATATTGCTGCTTTTTGAGAATGTATGTTCAGGACCAAGAAAAGCAAACTTTGAAGAGGAATTGTCAAAGCTAACCACGCGTGGCCGGATTAGGAAATGATATGACACACCTAAAGAAACTCGTGTTAAAACGCCAATGCAATGTTAACATCCGAGCACGAGTCATCCAACTGTGATGTTATTGAAATGTTCCCAAATTCCAAGTGCTCACGAAAGGTATTTTGTCTGTATCAATTACTAAATTATCAAGGTATACATTAATTAGCACGCTATGAACAAGTTTTTCGGTAAGCGTAGTTGTTACAATGAAACAAATTCATTGGTTTGCACTTGTTTCGAATGCCGTAGGTACCTTATTATACTTGATCTTCAAACTTAATAAAAAGTACGGAAGCTAGAAGGGTGCACAGAAAAGATGGACTGAATTAATAAATAAAATATTATTTATGGATTTTTTAAATCCCTTTTTGGTAAAAATGTTAAATAGATTTAACATTCTAGTTAACAGTTTTATTGAAAATTTTAAATACTGTAATATTTGTAGACGAAACCCTGATTTTTCAAGTGTTATGAAATTATTACGCGTCCTCAACAAATAAGACTTCATTGTATATGTAAATAAGCTAAGTTAGCGTAAACATTGATACAATACGTAAAGGTGCCATGCTTTAAATCGAATTCAGCTAAGTCAATACATCAAATATCAATGCTGTATAGCCTTCGCTGCGTTTAAGTTGTTTTGTAAAAGTGGATCATGCTACTGTTACAAACTTCTGAAGATTTGATTTACTAAACGTTTCGCCTTATAAGTAAATGAGATAAAATATAAGAGAAAACATCTACCTGCAAACTAAAAGGAGGCTCATTAATCTTTAAAACACGTTGAAAGTCTGAAGAAAAGATACCTCATAACGAAACCTGATATATTAGGAAACTGAAGCTAGGATGCTTTGTTGAATACTAGTCTAACATACTTTTTGAAGTACAGTTTTCAGTTAAGGAAGATCGACAGTAAGATTAATTGAATCAACTTCTTATAAAATACTTGTTATAACGTAATTATTATATTGCTGTGAAAATCAATTACTTTGTTCTTGTGTATACAAATCTAATATTGATTCTTAATTATTCACGACACTAGGAGGGACTTAAACCAAACATGTGAAAGCCATATTTGTTGTATTTAACTGCTTGATTGTTCTTTAAAGAGCAAAAAAATAAATAAAAATAAATGTAAGCAAACGATCATGTATTCCCTAGTTGTTGTTGTTGGTGTAAATAAAAAATTGATGAGAAAACTGAAAAAAAAAGTTTGTTTATTATAAATGGTGAAATGCATCACAGATTTTAAGAGTAGAAAAGTAATGAACCTGTTTGTAGCTATTCTCAAAAGAAATGTAATAAAAACAAATTTATTTAGTAAGTTTACTCTTAGGATAAGCAAAAAAGTAGTTTATAAAAATGTGTCTTTAGGAAATTTTATAAGTTAACGTAAATTTATGGTTTTCTACGCTTTTCCTCTTATCTCTCTAGCAAGAACTTCTGAATAATAAAGAAATCTAATACGCAGTACATATATATGAAAAAAACACATTTAATTTTGAGTGCAAACATAAAATATATATTTTCAAAACTATGAATTCCATTAATCATTTGCTTTTTTATATATTGAAATAATCGAAAGAGTGAAAAACGAAAAGGACAGTTAATGAAACAATCAATGTATAAAAGCGAAACATTACAGACATTTATATCATTTATGAAAAAACAAGTTTTATGACTGAAATAAAAAATCGTTACTATTTTTGACCAAAATATAAAAACTAAATATCTACATAGAATTTGAAGCACACAAAACTGAGTTTATGTAAAATAAACAAAAATAAAACAAACTCAGTCATATGCTTAATGAATGAAATATTTACAATTGATCCTTGATCGTGATATCACTTAAGATATATAAAGTTTGATCTAAAATAATGTAGCAACGTGAATAAAACACTCTAACAACTAACATGGACAGTGATGATAAACGGTGTTTTTAGGATTGTTTTTTTTATTTCATTTTTATAAACATGGCAAAAGGGCAATATATATCAGTAAAATAATCTTATAAGTAGGATTTTAGTAGAGTTTCTTGCTTTGTTTTTTGAGAGGTACGAAAGGCGTTTGTGTTGGTGTATAATATATTTTTTGAGCTCACATAATAACTTGTGGACTTACTTTTCCGTAGTTTTAGTAGGATAAATGTTATGGTAGTTTATTCTTGATCCACCAAATGTTCCTGTGTTTTGTTATTGTAGTTTAATCTGTTCATTACTACAGTACTCTTTTCTTTGTCTGTTGGCTCAGTCACAAACGAAATGAAAACAAATGGCTTCTTTCAGTTCAGTTGTTAAGTTACTCTTCACTTTTTGGTTGTGTTTGCTTATTCATTTATGAACTAATGGCACAATTCATTCTAGAATAATAGAAACTAATTTTAATCGCTGACATCAAAATATATAAGTCTACATGTCCTAGGCCTAACATTAGTTAAGCCTTTGTTAAGAACAGCCTATATTCGATAAAGAGATCAAATAAATCTAGTTTCTTGGTTACTATATATGTAGAAGCAGTAAATTCTAGAATTGGAATCTTATCTGGAGATGGGCTAAAGTTTAAGCCTAATGAAGAAATAGGTTGTTGGCAACTTGATGGTTTGTTAAAAGTTTATCGCTTATGTTTACAACATTAATTTGTTTTTAATTTGATTATTGCTACTTATTAGTTTTCTAGTAATAAGTTTGTTGAACTTTTTCATTTCTTTTTGTTTTACAGTAAGAGATTCATAATTTCAATAACGTGTTCAATCTGATAAACCCAAATGTACAAGTAATGGCCTGGTGGTTAAGGCGCTCGACTCGCAATCTGAGGTTCCCCTTTCCGCCGTGGGAGCGTAGTAATGTGATGGTCATTCATTGGTAAAAGAGTAGCTCAAGAGTTGGCGGTGGGTGGTGTCGAACAGCTGACTTCCCTTTAAATTAGGGCCTGCTAGCGCATATAGCCCTCGTGTAGCTTTGTGCGAAATCCAAACCAAGTATACAAGTAATTTGAAGACATTTTTGTATAATTTCGTAATTTTTACATTTGTATAAAAATAATACAGTTTTTGTTTTGTCATGGATAGCTTCAGAGATACATTTTCAAAAATCTTTCAAATAATTAGTGTACGCCGTTCGTATCAAGTAAATAACAATGTTTTTAGAATTATAGCGTGGAATTAACATCAAAATGTTCCCCTGTGGTTCAGCGGTAATTATGAGGATTCATAACGCCCAAAATCAAGGTTCGATACATGCGGTGGACAAAGCATAAATAGTCCATTTGGGAGCTTTATAGTTAACAACAAACAAACAAAACGCACGTCAAAATTGAAAGAAGCATTTGCCTTTAAAGCCGAGCACTGTGGACTCTCTACAAAATTATATGAAAATCACGAACAAATTCCACTTAATTTCGACACGGGCTCCGTCCCTGGGATCGACCTCGTAACCGTAACCTCGTAATAGTTTACATACTAATAACTTATAGTAAACATTAGATGCCTTTTACACAAAAATAATCAGATGAAGTATTTTTACTTAAATTTGTCCGTGAAAATATCGATTCTTTTTTTTTAACTAGTCTGAGTGCAAAGTGATTTTCATGTCAAAATTAAAAATACTTTTCGCCATCTAAAAATCTAAAATTTCCTTTGTGTAATCCCTAAAACTCCCTAAATGAATTTCAAACGGTTTATTTCACTAAATATTTATAATTTTATGTACCCTATCTCAAAAAGGTATCATATCGGTCAACTCGACCAACCTCGTAACCACAAAAGAAAACAAAATCGAAATCAACCTAAATTAACCTTTTTTTCTTTCTATAATGACTTCCAACTGTAACCTGAAACTACATTCGTTTATCCTAAGTAGCTCTAAGTTCGTAACAATATTCTATTCAACGTTATACAATACGTCATTTGATATATTAACATCTTGACTTTCTATTGGTTATAGGTAATGTATAATGAAACGTAAGAGAACTATCAACGAATTGTGAAAGAGAGGATGTGACAAGTGGGTGTGGCAGGAGGGGTCTGATTTTCTATTCAGTAGCTCTGTAACCAAACAAAATTGACGTTTATAAAAATTATGGTCTGTTTCAGCAATAATGTTTTTATAGAGTGAACTTTACCTCTAATTTTGTACATTTTCGAGAGGTGATGGATAAAATAGGGATGATGACATGCTAAGACAAAATGTGTCACGTGTGTTGTACTAGTGGAATTTCAGGATTTTTTTATATATTTCCTTAAAACTTGTATACTATCAAAATATGGATTATTTGCTGATATTTTATGCTATTCTAATTGGTATAACACAGACAAAAAGTAGTTGAATAAAATTTTGAATGTAAGACACTAAAAACCTTGTGTCATGCGCAGTAAAGGGGATATGGGCCAATAGGGTTCAGAGTGCCTGGACTAATTTCTTGTCCCGAAACAAAATCAATACGCTTGTAATAAAACAATTACCTAAAACTAATTTAAAACTATTCATCCAATTGTATTTGTTTAAATTATCTTTGCTGTACTTCCATGTGCTGTACTTCCATCTTTTTAAGTTGCACATGGCTTCTTTTATTCCAAAGCTAATCACTGAAATCACTCTAGCATGAAAAATATATGAAGTTTGTTTTTAATTTTTATGTTAATTCTACTTTGAGTTGAGCGCTAAGATAAAATCTCAGTATTTGCTCTAACAGACACTTACCCTTGACGTAAAAACCAACTGCTTCTCAGAAGTATTGTTTGTTTGTTCTTAAGCACAAAGCTACACAATGGAGTGTCTGTGCTCTGTGAATCGCAGGTATCCAAACCCGTTTTTTTAGCTTTACAAGCCCTCACATCTTCCGCTGATCCACTGGGTGGGGCTCCTTCAGGAGGAAAAGAGTGTTTTTAATGATTTTGTCAGTGGTCGTCTGGCTATATACTATTATATTGATTTCCAGCTATTACTTTTCTTAGCTACACTCTACAGTGCTCTGTTTCCAGCAGCCACTTTCACCTTACCAGTGCAGATTAAGTTGATATACTGTAAGTAGAATTGTATAACACCTCATAAAGAGGTTTCACTTGAGAGCTTGTCAGATTCCCTGTTTAGCTTTATCCCTGCCAGTGTATCTACCATTCAAAAACTGAATTTTACGCAGTACTGTCTGTAAGGCAGTTGCAAATATTATGTTTCTGGCAGTGTCTATTGCAGTTCATTGCTTTCCCCAATCCAGAAGAGAGCTTGCTTTATGGCTCCCAACTCGATCCTTGTGAAGTTTGTGAGAAGTTTGAATGCTCCACCAGCTTTCGGCAGAATGTTGTTGCTCCACGAGACAAATAATGCTCAATGATCCCTGTTCCTATCAGTGGTGTTGGAACTATCTCTGGCTATGATAACAGGTGTCTGTCCATCATGGTATTTAACAACCTTTTTTTTTGCTCCACCCTCTATTCAGTCTCAACATTTTATGTATCGACTGATTTTTACAGCGCTCTATATCCCACTGCACCAAAGTATAACAGTATAAGGTTGGCAAATACTGTGGAGAGAAGAATGTAACCTTTTCCATTAGTGTTTTCACCTGCATCTTAATTGAGGTGTTCGCCATAAAGTTTCCTATTGCTAGACACATAGTAGTATTGTTAGACAGGTAGGACAGGGACCTCCAATGTTGAGCATGATGTGTTGTGTTAACTTTCATGTACACATTGATGAGTTGTATATGAGTGGCTGAGTTCAAGTAAAATATTTGGATGGTTTGTAGCTTATAATGGTGATTGTTCCACTGAGAACT